AGATCTGTAGATGTTTCTTTTTCCTTTGTGTTGGGAGACAGATCGATTTGGCAGTTTTCTGTTGAAAGCCCAAATGCATTTCCCTTGTCCCTTTTTCCAAGTGGTTGGGAAAGCTCTTCCAGTGAATGCAGAGGCTGCTTTTTGGAGCCACAGTAATCACTTCTGAATCTGCACATAGTCAAAGAAGAAAAAGATAGAACTAATTACAGAAGCACTGGCAGTGTTAGGGCAGAGCCTACAGTGTCTGTGTGTGTCACTGAAACCCCCTCAGGAGGACACTGGGTGTTAGCCTGTGCTGAAGTCTCTCTGAGCTGAGGCAGTGTGAGGATTTACAGTCTGTCAGCCCCTGCTTGTGTGCTGGGCCATGAACATGTTTGTCCCATATGGCCCTGCCATGGAATTGCCAAGCTCCATGGGATGGCAGCAATCCATGCAGATGGACACAGCTGAAACACTTGGATCCAGGAACCAACCAGCACAGGGACCTCACCTTTGGAGCCTCTCTGCCTCCACAAATCTGAGCTGGGGGCTAGCAAAGCTACTGAGAATTTTTTTCTGGCTTCTGATACCAAACGGGGCTCAGTGCTCTGCTGTGTTGATTTTGATAGTGTTAATCCTAGAGCTAATATAAATTTTAAATTACACTTTTATGAATTCCATTTGAATGTAATTGGAACTCCTCGGTGTGGTTTAATGGTGATGTATAATGCTTGTCTCTTCCTTATACTTGGGGGTGTGGGGAAATCTCTGAAAGTCTCTTCATCAGCTCTTTTTGTTTGGGAATAACCATTTTCTCTTCTGGATCTGCCAGAGATTTCCAGAGTTCACCTCTTGTGTATCTTAGTGCTTGATGAGGTGACACAGCAAGAGGGAGATTTGCAAGTCTTTCACTGTGTTTGTTAGCCAAGGCTTCCTTCACTATTTATGTTGCAAGCTTTTTAAAGCCAGGATAATGGTATTTAGTAACTAAAAGCTTGAAAAAAAACCTTATTAATGGACTGTTTATATTTCGTGTTACTCCTCTTTATTGTTTTCCTTCCCTTTAATGAGATGGAAAACAATTTAGTGTCATTAGTAAATGTCTGAGCATGTTCTTCAAATTGAGCTTTGAGCACTCTGGTGGGGAGTCTGAGGGTTAGAGCTCTGAGATGAGGATTATAGCTGTAAGATGAGGGTTATATATTTAATATGAGGGTTATAGCTCTAATATGAGGGTTACTTCTTTAATATGAGGGTTATATCTCTAATACGATGGCACTTTGCTTTGGTTTACTCTCTAACTTCATCGTGGGTTGGTTGTTTCTGTAACATGTGGCACTATATGTTGAAAGTGGATGTTTCCATCTGGTATGCATTGGAAGATTAAGGTAGAGAGGATGAAGTTTTGGGCAAGTATGTGTTTTTTGGATGAAGGATAAAGTGAGAATACTTTTATTTCCTCTTAGATTCGAAACATATCATTCTAGCAATGCCTTTGAAACTCTGCCAGCTTTGCCAACCGTAACATTTATAGGATTTTGGACCTAAACTGAACTAGAGAACTGTTTTTAGTGGCAGAGAAAAAGGTTAGTGCATGAAAATAGCTGGGCCTATTATTGACTGCATGTGGTCAGTGGTTTGGCTGAATGTAGGTGGCTCTTTTCCTGTCACTGTTTTCAAGCATATGGCTTTGTGATGAATAGAAAACTCTTTCAAAATGAGATCTACTGCAGTTCCTTTGCACAGTAGTCTTGTGCTGTTTAGTAGCCATTACTTTGCTTTTGTCATTTATTTTCAGTCTTGGAGTAAAGAAACCCTTTTTTAAATAAAGCTGATGATTCCTGTTGACATCAAAACTTAGAGGTTTGAAGACTGTGGTCATCTGTGTCTAGCAGCTGCTTCTGTCAGTAACATTTATTAAAGTGTGCACTGTGTTGCTGAGAATCTATTGTAGTGAACTCTGGGAGTGTTTGCAGTGAGCAGAAACTCCTTTTCATTGTGCACTCGCTTTTAATTATTACTTGTGTGAAAATCTCTAATACTGAATTACAACTTTTTATCCTTTCAATGTTTTAAGTCTTGGAAGTCACATTAATAGCAGTTTTTCCCAAGGTCAACTTCTTTTCTCATTGTGTAGAAGCCTGGAGTTAACTTTGTGTTTTGTTTTCTTCTTTGGGTGTAGTATACAAGGTGCTGCCTCAGAGCTCAGGGAATTTTCTAGCTCCTGCTGCAGAGAGAGCTTAAGGGCACAACAGGTTCTGTTTAGCTTTCACTTAAACAGTGTTACCCTATTTATATCTTTGTAAGAAAATCTGGGTGATGGAGCTGTAAATTGTACAGATTGTGGATTGTGTAGATTGTCTGGTGTTTTCAGTGTAGAAAATTCTAGTGAATCTTGTTTTAGCAGCTATCAGATGCAGGAACTGGTTTCATTCAGCTGAGAGCAAAGTACATTTGGTTCTGCAAGATGCTGAGAACTGCAGCAAGGATTAGGGGCACAAAGCACTTCATGAGTTGGTTCCATCGCTGTAAAGTATTTAAAAACAAAGCAAAACTGTTCCCCATGTTTAGGGAAATGTTACTGTTTTCCTGTGTTAGGGGAAAATAATTTATAGAATTATCCATTTTTTTAGAGAAACTGTAAAAGAATAGCTAAATAAACACTGAGATAATCTGTAGAGCTGCTTAATATATTTTAATACATTTGTCAGCCAGTCCTGTGTCCTGGTTCCACAGACTAGACACAAGGAAAATCACTTGCACAGTTAGCTCCTTGTGTGATAATATCTTGCAGACTTCTCAGACTTGAATGTGTTACCTACATTAAAAAATTATACAATACCAGTTAAAACACAAAATGTACTTTCAAAATTCTTGAAATAACAAAAAGAAAAATCTCGAAGCTGTAATTATTGCAACTATAGCTTAGAACTTACTGTAATATCTTCCTACAGTGTAACACAACAATATAACTTACAGGTTATCAAGACATTTCTTTTCTCATTTAAAATAGGTCCTTTGAATTGTGTTAGGAAGACAGAGCTGTTGCTCCTAAGTGTGTTGGGTGAACGACTGTCACTAGCAAGAAGTGCTATGCATGTGTTTGTACCTCTCACTGCAAGAGAATCTTAAGTGATGTGGATATATAAGCATTGCATCCTCAAATGTTTAAAGAATAATAATTTCCTTTGCATTTACATGAGTTTGGGGTCGTGCAAAACCCCCTCAGTAGCAGCAAGTTACATATTGTGCCTTGAGTTGGTTTTTTTCTCCTAGTTCTGATTTAGGAGTAGGAAAATGCTTGGTATTTTTGACAGTAGTAATTGTCACAATTCAGGAATGCTCTATGAAAGGTCTCATATTTGAACATACTCCCTAACTGCTAACTGTTCCTCATCAAAAAGATCTGAAATATGAGCCTGATAAAGATTATCAGTATCAATTCTGGACGTGGATCGATAGAACAGTATCTTAAGAGAAAACCGGCACAGATAACTGATGATCTTTGCTTTCATTTTATGCGAGACTTTTTTTTTTTACAGTGACCTTTGTGAAAATAGTTCCTTTTATAATTCTTAATGACTGTTTGGCTTGCAGAGGTTGGAGACCTGAGGGAGCTGCAAACGTTGGACATCTCAACCAACCGTTTGATGACGTTACCTGAGCGGCTGCACATGTGCCTTTCGCTGCAGTATCTGACTGCAGACCGAAACCACCTGTGGTATGTGCCCCGGCACCTGTGCCAGCTGCCAAGCCTCAATGAGCTCTCCATGGCTGGAAACCGCCTTGCTTTTCTGCCTCTGGGTGAGTCACCCCTCAGTGGGCCGGGGGGGGCAGGCAGAGACACACAGGAAAACAAACTTTCCGCCCCCAAAAAGAAAAAAAATCTATGTGCAACAAGTGGAGGTTCTTTGGTGGTCTCTGCAAACTGCTTGTGGAGCTGTCACAGGGGAAATATGGTAATAAAAAAGAAATGCAGGTTAAGGTTTCATGTCTTTTTTAAAGCAATAAGTCAGCTATCAAATTTGCTTTATTTTTAGCTAACTGAGGGGAAAAAGTTGAAATGATGATGTGCTTAAATATAGTACTGTGTAATCTGAGTTCCACCACTTTGGGTAATGATCTGTTTCTGTTTGCTGGATCTGATGGTTTCACTAGGACTCTCCAGCTAGGGTTTAAAACTTGCTGTGGAATCCCAGTAACTCCATAGAAATTATTTTGCATCATTAGGAATGTCAGTACTACATAAGCTAGTGCAGAGTGTTTGTGCTGTGTGTAGTCATCCATCAGAATTTCCACAGTAGTAGCCCAGGGAAGAGTTCATGTGCCTTTTTGTCAATCCTTTCAAAGTTTGGGAGCATGGAAGCAGGACCTCAGGAGCAGGCAGTGCCTCAGGGCTGTTGTGGGCAGTAGCTGTGCTGTGGGGAAGTGCAGGATGTATGTTGTTTGGGAAAAGCAAGTGCTCTTTGCTGAGTTTGTCACTCCTCAGCCCTGCCCTGGGCTAATCTCTGCTGAGATACAGACACACAGGCAGCTCTGTCATGTCATTTGAATAGCCATTAATAGCACTTCTAGAATACAGTCAGAATTTGGTGTTAATTAGGTGCAGATGAAGTTATGCTAATCACATTGGAAAGAAGGTGGAAATTGAGGTGGCTAAAAATGAGATCATCATTTCTAAATTAATTACATGGTATAGGTTTAACTTAATCTTTGCAGTACTAACAATTTAGTCTTTAAAGAACTTTCTGATCTTTCTGATTTTCTTATCACCTCAGTTTGTATTACTGGAAAGTAAGTGCAGATAGTGGCTCCAGACGTAGTGTTGTAGCTATGTCCCAGCAGATGTCATTATAGAAATGAGAAAATGAGTTCCAGGAGGCATCATCCAGATTCCACAGCACTATCTGAAACAAGCCAAGTGACTTCCCCTATTTTAGCAAATATTGCTAACTCCATGAGACAGGAAGTTGAATCTTTTTAATTTTGCTAAAATAAGATGCTGTTCAGTAAGATGAGACGTGAAATGTGAAAGCATAAAAGTTTTTGCTACTTTTGCACTGGTAGCTTATCTGTGAGCGAGCCATGACCTGGATGAGCCATAGATCTGCTCAAGTGTTTTAAGTTCAAAAGGAGGAAATAAATCTCTAATATAATGACACACCTTCTTTTTTTTCTTTATTTTTAGACTCAAATTCAAAACATTCAAAAGGAACTTTAAAATAACGGGAAACATCAAAGACTGTCAATTGACCTTGTTCAGTAGTTCTTAATAGTGACTCACTGGTGAACATTTGGAGATAATTTGCTATCTGTGGATATGAAACTGAATCATAAATCCTAGAGTTCAGAGGAAAAGCTGCACAGTATAAATGTAAATGTTTAATCCTTCCTCTGGAGAATCAGAAGGCTTCAGAGTGGTCAAGATGTGATGAAATCAAGTAGAAGAGAGAGTGCATTGAAAAGCAGAAAGATTAAATCTATCTCCCGTTGTATGGGAAAATATTTTTCTTGGAATATTCCTGAAGTTAAGGCATAATTGTAGCATTATTTCTGCTTGCTGCACATGGTGGTTAGTGGTGGGTTTTGTGTGTATTCTTACAGCCAACTGCACTTTACTGGTTAATGACTGAGTGAGGACATTAAATAACAGTGAAGGATGTTGTAGAAATATCTACAAGTGATGTTCAAGTTTTGTCAAAACAGTTTTTTGCAATTAAGGAGTTGTGTTGAAAAGCAGATAATTTATTCATCTCCTGACAGGATGGTTGGGCTTTTTTCTCTTTTTTTATTAGACATGTCCATGTTAAAAGAAATACGTTTGGAACAAATTTCTTAATGCTTTTCAAAGTGTGATTTACTGTATTTGTTTCACGTGGAGGCTGCGATCTGTTGTGCCAAGGAATCCATTCTTCCTCATCTGAGTATGGCCCTTGTAGCTACCTGGAGAGCCTCATGTTAAGTGTGCTGGAAATCTGCATTTTCCTGTTCCTGGATTGGTGGATGTAAGATCTATTCCAGTGGCAGCACAGCACTGCTGGAGAAGGACTAGGGAGCTTTTTGCCCTGTACATATTTTCAAGTTTGCAGGTACATGTGTCTTAAGAAAACAAGTGTAACACTTGTAATGAGTTTTACAAAATGCAGTCAAAATACCTGATCCCACTCTCTGACTTCCAGAACTGGTACATAAACAAGCACAGGGATAAACAGCAATGAGTTAGTAATTGTTCTGCAGGATACACTTAATTCCTACGTGTGCCAGTATTTTATAAAAAATAGTATTTTTCAGCTGAATATTTAACTTTATATTCAAATAAATGAGGCACTGTGGACCTGAGCCCTTTGGCCTTCTTCATGAACTCATTTTTCAAACAACCCCACAACTTGTATGTGTAAGTTGAACTGGAAGCTGCATCCTGGCCAGTCCTGTTGCTGTCCTGGTAACTTCATGCCCTAGTGAATGGTCTCAGGAAATCTGCTGATCACTTTGTATCCATCTACTTACAAGATAAATTTTCTTTTGACAGAAAATGAACTTTAAATTTTTAGCATTAGCAAGTGCTCCAATGCTTGAAAACAAATTCCACTGCAAGCAGAAATGTGAATCTGATGACATTGCAAAAAGAAAAATTATTTATGTAATAAAGTACAAATATAATTAAAATAGGCCATAAATTCTCGAGTGTACTGGCAGCACAGAGATGTTATGACAGCAAATATTCAGTGTTATATCACTTTATTGAGGCTTTATGTGCACTTTTTGTTTAGAAAATGGGTCTAGTAATTATCAGTGCACAGTAAACAAAGGTCTTATTCTACCTCAGTATATGCTGCTTTTGTGTCCTTGCCCTCACAGTATGGTTAAAAGAGCATCAGTGCAGCCACACAAGAGCTTTTGTTCCATCTTCAGCCATGTGGAATGCATATGCCAGGCCCTGAGGTTAGAAAAAAAAAAAGGAAAAAAAAAAGGGAGAAAAAGAAAAAAAAATAGAATTGGGGTTTGTTCAGGACTCTCAGCATTTGGTCATTTCTGGGAGAAAGGTCTTTGATCTGGGAGCCTGGAAGGAGGAAAGTGGAAATGTTTTAGACACAGTACAGTGCTTGCAAAAGCCACATGAAAACCTCCTTTGTAGCTTTAGCCTTTTCAGAGATGGGCAGTTTCCTCCTTGCACAAAGTTCTTCAGAAGGCTGTTTTCTACAGGACTTTTAACAATATTTGTTGACTGATAGAAGACATAAAAATTAATGCGGATGGGATACAAAGAGCTTTTCAAAGTGATGATTTATTTAAATTTCAACTCTATGGATAGTGTTTGAAACTGGGGGAAAAACCTTTTGGAGTGTAGAAGATGGTTGGTTATTTAATGCAGAGGACTATATCAAAGGAACATTTATAGTTACAGGCTATTTGGCTTTGGGAATTGAATTTTTCCTACTGAGATATTTTGTCTAACATCCAAAAATTTGCTTTAATTACCTAGGAAATGCAGTCAACTCAGAACTTCGAATCTAAACATAGCATAAGATAAAGACAGAGGGAAGAGATGAGATGCAGCCTAACTCCCCCCTCTCAGTGCATATGAAAAGAACAGCTTTAGGGCTTTTTTTGACTTGCCTGATTTGCAGCCCATTTGCATACATCTGTGTAGGAACCAGCAAGATGAGCCTCTTGAAAAAATTTTCTGCTATTCTCTAAATTAATAAGTTAAACAGTAGCACATTGAAGCTACCACAGCAACCCATAGTTTTGTGCTGCTCTTAGCCTAATTGGCTTCTGCCACACGAGACGACATCCTTCAAGCATTAGATGTCCCGTGCACTTTCTACCTGCTTCAGATTTTACTGCCTGATTCTCTACCAGCCTTAAAATATTTTATGCTGTTGCAGTGCCTCAGAATTGCAATATTTTCATTCGTTGTAGGATAACAATGGTTTGTTGTCTCATCTAAAAATATCCCACAAGTTTGCTGAGCTATTTTCAGCCCTGCAATAACTGAGCCAAAATAAATCAGCTTTTGGAGGTGCTGCTCAGGCTGATGTGCAGCAGCATCTCACAGCAGTGCCCATCAGTCAGCAGAGGGATTTGTGCTCCTTTGGGGCAGGACAGTTGATGGACACAGCAGATAATTCTGTGGACTAGAATGTCTTTGGGACAGGGTCAAAGCAGCACATGATGGTTGAGTGTGTCCCTGATGTCCAGTGACTGCTCTGAACAAAGCCCAGAAGATGGTCCCTGAAGCCTCCATAGACTGTTGCAGGGCAAGGGCCTATATTAAAGGGGGAAAAAAAACCCCAAAACTCAGTTTTTTCTGTGTTAACATTTTTATTTCAGAAAAGGAATCTGTTCATTTTCTCTTTGTATCATCACTTGTTCTTTCTATCAAAGATTTGATAACGTGTCACTTCTCAGCATGAGCTTTTAAGGTTTTTGGTGCTTACAGCTGCCACTCAAGTGGATGACAGCTGAAGACATGCAGTACATTTGAAGGTGGCCACACATTTTGGGGGGAATCGCTCAAAATGTCTGCATTAAGTGGTGTCCAGAGCTCTTGTGTCCAACAAAACTATTTAGGACTAAAGAAGGGCTTCTATTACCTATTTTCATAGTGGGGAATGAGCAGAAATCATTGTTCCAAATAGAATTTCTGAATAGAGATCCCATGGAATTTGCTTTAGTTGTTAGGCTGTTCTTGGCCACAATTACAAAGAAGCTGTGCCCCTTTCTCTGGTTGCCCTTATCTTTCTGCCAGCCAAGGTAACTGACAGGTGATAAATATAGGATGTCAGAATTAGTCAATATTAGCATCATCTTCCGTTGTGGCTGATTCAGCCAAACGCTTGTTTATCTTGCTTAGTTAACTATCTATGAGATGCTCATAAAAGTTTAACAAGTTGGGAGGCATACAGATTTCTGTTTGTATTTTTTGATAATGCAGTTTGTCTGGGTCACAGCTCTCCCCTCTGGGCAGAGCCTTTCAAGCTCTGCTCCCCAGCCTTGTGCTCTGCATTAGGCACAGATGTCTCTGCCTGCCCCAGGACCTCAAAGGGCACAGGAGCTACAGATGAGCTGGGCTGCCCAGATGATCCTACACATCAGCTTTCTTGCCAGTCCAAACTCCTTTAGACTAATCTTTTTAGTTCACTTTGGTGTCTTTTTAAATGACACTTTAAAAAGTGACACTTCTTTGAATAGCAGTTTTACCACTGAGTAGATCTTGCTGATAAGCAAAATTCTTATTTCTGAGAATTTTTCCTAGAAACCTAAATTTTCCCTTTTAATTTTTATTTTCTAAGCAAAGTAAAACGATTCCATATCTATATCTCCTATCTGGAGGTATGTTAATAGATTTCTAGTCCACTGGGTATTGCTTCATCCTGCTGGACTTGCTGCTTTGGACTCTCAGCCATGAATATTTTAACAGGAATAATGCAAGCAGCACACCTTGCACAAGTATTGATCAGCAACTGCAGCCACAACTTGTGATGTGTAATACTCTGCAGTTTAATGCTTGTCTATTTTCTTGTGTTCTGTAACTGACTGCAGCTCACAGAGCTGTTTCTGAGTGAGTGCAGTTGTATCTGGTTAAGGCTAATGAATCCAAGCAAGTGTGTCTTGTTGAAGAAGAGAAGGAGTGGGACAGAGCACATTCCTGTGTCTGTCTCTGCCACTTACCCAGAGATGCTGAAGCTGTGATCTCAGTGGAGTGAGGTCGGTTAATGAAAGCAGGTTTGACCTCATGAACTTGAAGTATGCACTGTGGATTTGAAATCAATTGTCCCTTTGCTGCTTCAAACTGACTTCAGAGCTTGTCAATGCTAAAACTTAATTATTTATAATGGGATTTTTCAAGCCTCCTGAAAGGGGTTTTGTTTGGGGTTAGTCATTTTAAATGCTTTTTTCTAAACAGCTTTGCAGCTCATCCATAATAAAACTACTGGCTGAAATTTTACCACTGTAAAGAAGTACTAATTTCTGTTTGCTTACATTGAGTCTGATTAGCTTATTTATAATTAAAGACAATTGCTTTGCTTACAATTGTCACTGTGTCATCCCTTCTCCCCTTGACTTTTCTTGTTTTCTAATCCCAGATTTAGGTCGTTCTAGGGAGCTGCAATATGTGTATGTGGATAACAACATTCACCTGAAAGGCCTCCCCTCTTACCTCTATAATAAAGTCATTGGGTGCAGTGGGTAGGTATGAATTAATGTTTTGCATACCTGTTCCTTGTAAAAATTCTCCTGTATGATACAACTGATTATTTTTATGTGTGTCTGTGATTGAGTCTTGATTGCTTTGAGGGGATTACAGCAGCTCCCAATTCCATTTTATTCTTGTAATAAATCTTCTCTGTGTGTGACTTTCAATATTTTGGTATTGAGGCCTAACTCCAGAGGAATTTGTGATGATCATGTAAGGCCTAAAGCTGGATCCTAGCTGCATTTAAAGGTTGGCCAAAGGCTTCACAGAGTTTCCACAACTAAAGAGGGAACAAATTATTTTTTTTATGTGTTGCAGCATCCATGTGGTTCCTAAGTTCTCACATTTCTGTAAGTTATGTGCCACATCTTGGAATGTCACATGCAACTCCTTCACTCATTTTACATCCCACCATCAGCTTCTTGTAGGTCTTGGTACCTACTAGCTAAAAGAAGTAACTTTTTTTAGGAGTTATGGATTGACAGGTCTATTTTTACATGTGGATTTTAAAAATATCCCAGGCTGTCTCGTGTTTGTGGTTAGGATGCAAGAAAAAAGTGGTCTGTGTAGGACACTGGCTTAATTCTTTCTGCCCTGACACCAGCATAAATTAGGATCAGCAGCACTGATGAATGGAGCCTTACTGGTGTAAAACTGATCAGAAGAGGATTGTCCCCATTACCATCTAATTATAAATTTCTGGTATGCTCACTCTCAGCAGATCTTGCATTAAATATAAATTCCCTCTCTCCAGCCTGCACTGTGCTGCAATATGGGAGATGCTGAGTCTTGGCATTTTAAGGTTTTTCTAATACTCCCATGTCAGCTGCTTGGGTGATATTTAAATCCTTGCAGTTGGATTGCAGCTCTGCTGAACTGTGTGCACTCTCGAGCTTTTACTAATTCTGTTTTTCAGGAAAAATAAGTTCTAGCCTTTGTTCTTTCAGAGCTAATTGTAAATTGTCAGACAGACATTAAATTGAACGGAAATGGAACAGAACTTTATCAATTGTGACCCAAACCTGTAGTGACAATGCAGGAAGTGATCCAGCGAGTTTGGTCCCACTGTCCTGCCTGTGTGATTTTCAGCAGTCATGGCAGAAAAAAAGCCTTCTTTTTTTTCCCCTAAGTTTTAAGTTCTTATTTTATACTCAGGCAAAATCTTTTTATCTTTGCACTGACCTTTGTGAAGTGCCACCAGTTCTCTTTTGCTGTCATTCTGTGTACATTGCTGGTGAGGCCAACTGCTGCTCTCTCTAATATTATAAACCTAACATGGAATTACACAATCAAGTATTATAACTCTAGTATGGAAGAGACTGAAGATGTTGTAAATAAATCATTGTAATGCTTCTGGGAATAAAAAGTGATTTTTTTCCTTAATGATAACTAATAAAAAGATACTAGTAAGAAAAATATTTGTGTACAAAACAGATATTTGTCTTTCTGTTGCAAAACCATCTTGAAACATCATAGATTATTAAGGACAATTTTCAACCTAGGAAGGTCATTTATATAGACTATCAAGAAACCAAAGGTTTTATTTGATAATGTGCTGAGTGACATGAAAATTGTGTAACGGTGGTCATGTGAAGAGTTTCTGTGTTCTTTCCAAGAAAGCATTAGGAACCAGGCTAAGGTTTTCATGGGTCAGACAAGAGCTGAGGATCCAGGCTTTAGTGCCCTGTCTGGTCATCCACTGGAGAATAAAATCTGACATGCTGCTGTTACTGACATAAAGCTACATTGCTGAAAATAGAATATAAATTGCATTGTGTAAGTAATGGATCTGTGTCTGGGCATCCTGCAGTCAGACTGACTGAAAAAAAAGTCTTTTATAAAAGAGGTGATGATCTCAGCACTCAAAATAAATTTTGATCTTATTTTTTGCAGATTGGATTTCATAGTCTCCAGCTAGGGACCTGTCAGTCTGGTTGAAGGCAGCCAATAGGTGGTCACAGCTTTTTTTTCCCTCCTATTTATTCACCAGGATTCTTCTGCAGCTCCTTTTTTTCGCAGCTGTTTAGACCATCCCCTATTCCATTTTTTAACCTCCATAGTTTTTGTGTCTGGCATTAACAGCCTCACCCTTTACACGAAGTAGAGTAAATCCCCCAGCTCTGAACTGCAGAAGCTGTAGGGAGTTTGTGGGTTCATTCCCTAGTGAGGGTATAAGGGGTTAATCAGCCTGAAAATACAACATTATAGATCTATTTGTTGTGATAGCAACTCACTGGGCATGGATTGCTGGCGAGTGGATTGTTGGAATATTGGATCTCTGAATTCCCAGTTATATTTTAACCCCACTAATGGTTTGTGGGAAAGGATTAAATATTTAACAAGAGGCATATTGACTTGCTGTTTGATGCTGCTCTTTTTTGTTTGTTTCTCTGGGCTGTTCTTCCTTTAGTCAGAAGAGATTCGTTGTTGTCAGAGAAGCACTATGAGATTTCTTTCACATCTGATAAGGTTGAGAGTAGTTACCTCACTTTTAGGTCCAATATCTGGGCAGGCTGACAAATTTGTGTTTCTGTTCCATTTGTTAGGACTGGCCCTAACAAGTTGCTCTTGGCTTCAAATTTCAGTTGTCATAAACAATTCCAATTCCCCTGTTGACTTCCCCAAGCTCTTAGTAGAATTTTCCTATGTGTGTCTCTCTGGTATGACTTGCAACAGGGATCATGTAAAGAGTTAGTATTTTTACTACAAGCTAAGTTTGTCTCCTGGGATCCAAATAACCTTCCTTTTCCGTATATCATTTGGGAAGGACCAGGCTAGTAGACTTAGTAGGATATCATCCCACTACAGAATGGCTGCTGATTTTGTTTCTCCCTCACCTACCCCCTGTACCCTCCAAGGGAACTCTGTGGGTGGGGAAAGGTGTAGTACAGAATCACCCAGTGGCACTCCAAACGTATTTTTTTGTGCTTGGAGTTTGCCTCATGTTTTATAATTAAGAAATCCATGACCATTCTCAAGTGGTTGATTCAAGACAAGGGAAATAAACTGCTGGGTATGAAACTGCTCCCCTAAGTATTTCAAAACAAGGGCACTGAGAGGCTGAAATGAACAGTACATGGGTGAAGTAAGGGGCATGTAGTGCACTGGGTTCACCTCCTTGGGATTGTGTTCTCATTTCTTCATGTTATTTGATAAGTAATTTCTCCAGAAGCCCCATGCCTAGCACAGCACAGAAGGTGGGAATCTATAGAATTTGTGTGTCAACACAGACTCAGATTATCTTGGGCTGGAAGAAACCTTTAAAGGTCATCTAGTCCAACCCCAACATGTGCTGCTCTCTGCAAGGAATCCTTGTGGGGTGCTGCACTGGAGAACAGTATCAGGCATACCTTGGGTTGGTCATCTGGGTTTCCCCAGAAAGTTACTTTTATGATTTTTTTTCTAACCACTTTCTAAATGTCTTGTGTCCTTCTAGTTGTGGTTCTCCAATTCAAGTTTCAGAGGTGAAACTGCTCTCTTTTTCATCAGGCCAGTTAACTGTGTTCCTGCCAGCAGAGGTGAAATCTATAGGGACAGAAACAGATCATGTGCTGCCTTTGCAAGAACTGGCCATGAGGACCCTCTATAACACCTACTACAGGTTTTTGAAAGGTATGAAATTTCTGCATTCTTCAGATCACAAAAAGAGTGAAAGTGCTTTTCTGGCAGTGATAGGAACATTTCAAACAGTTCTTCAAAGAGTTGGACAAGGATTTATATTTTAAAAGATGTATTTAATCAAATTATGTTTGAAATGCTGTATTAGAACAAAAATGTCCAATATCAAACCCCAGAGATCCAAAGACTATTTCTAAGGTCAAGTGGTGCTTATAAATGGTTTCTTACTTGAAGACTGTACAAAGAAGGACCTTTTTCTGCAGGAGAAACTTTAATGGAAATAGGAGATGAGAAATACAGTTCCTGAGGCAAGATCAGATGCATCAGCCAACAATGCAGCTCCTTGCCAGGCAGCACACTCCTAAACTGGCAGACTTGTTATACATAAGGCAGAAGAAATGTGAGCAGCCCTTGGCCATTTGAGCACAGCCTGACAGCTGAGCTGCTTTAGTTCTGCCCCAGTTCAGACTCTTTGCTCTAAAGTGGCCCTTGGCTCATCGGGTTGTGCATCATGCAATCACATGAGTTAGCAATATCTGATGATAACCTGCAGATTTTCTCAGATTTAGATGTGTTGTGACTCCCCCCTGTTGCCATCTTGGGATTTCTCAGCTTTAAAGGTCAAAGTAGAAAGCAGAAGGGTAGAGAGTTGAAATGGAGAGATGAGAGGGTTTATGGTAAGGAGTCACTTGTACCTTGGCCACTGCAGTAAATCCTCAATGCTGAACCACTTCTTTCCAGGAAAAGTGTACAAGGAGGTTTGGCTTTTCTCACCCAGTTTGTGATTTGCACAATGATTTGTGAAATCCAACTGGGTCAGTGTGGTTCCTGAAGATGCTGGTGAAGTTTGGTTTGGGAATGGCAAGAGACATTGCAAAATCAGTGTAAGAAATGGTTTGTAGATGGTTTATACAAGGCTGTGAGGATTATAGCTGTTTGCAGCCAAGATGCAGAACCTGAAAAACATGGATTTATATATTTACATATACACACACATATGTATGTCCTTATGTCCTGTCTGAGTGACCTTATTGAGGACTTTGGGCATTACCACTGGTAACACCCACGTGTCGGTGAGGCAGGAGCAGCGCTGGCTCAGACAGGTGTACCACAATGGTGAGCTGGGGGAGCAGGTGGCACATATGACTCAAGCAGCAGATTTGATCTGTCACTGCCTAAATTTGCAGTTTCAAGGGTGCTGTTAAATACTTGGTGGCTGCTGGGGAAGTGACACAAGTGACTGGACTACTTTTCCTCAGTCTTTGCTTGGCTGCAGTGTGACCTTTTCCTTCTGACGCAAATGTCCTGTTTGCCATTGGAGGCTGTTGAGGTACATTGTGTCTGGGGCTAAACCTTACAGTGTGTGAAAGCTGAAACCAGTGTGATATTGTAAAACTGATTTATCAGGTACTGCATCTTGTCTTGATTAGTCAGCACCTAAACTCATTCACCTGTCTTGGCTGGCTCTCAGTTTCCAGATGGAGTTTAGCATGTTGAGTTTAATTTATAAAAACACTGCGTGGCTTGGGCCAAGACTGGGAAAATGCTGCTCTTTGCATCCCTTTGTCCCTTTTGGTGGCAGTGATGGCATCTTGTGAGCTGTGGGGGCACACGTAACAGATTAGCAATGTATTGATCTTTTTAGTGTGGCCTCTTTGGTTGGACCTGTGAGAGTCCAGCTGAGCTGGATTGTATTTCTAAGTAGTTCTAAATACTTCAGTTCCCTTTGTGCTGATGGTGGAGTTTGGGCTTTGCAGTGAGTTTCATTATCCTGCTGGATTGGTTGCTGAAATGTTTTAGTGAAATACTATTCACGTCCTTTTCAGACTGTTGTCTTGCTATGAGTTACTAAACAACTGTCCTGATCATCTTTGTGTCTAAAAATATTTTATTATATGTTAATTATATTATCATTATATGTTATATAATATAT